GCGTGCCTCGGGCCTGACCTTTAAATGGGATCTTGGCGTATTTCTGCAGGTTTTCCTCCAGTTTCTGATAGTCTACGTCCTCCTTGGCGTTGAACGGGGTGGCAATAGGCGGATAAATCCCGCTGAGGTCCAGCCTGGCAGCTGCTGTGTGGCTCTGGGATCGTTTCCATGCTCTGCGGTGAGCTACCCTGCACAGGTAGTTCAGACTTCTCCAAGCCCGGACGCACTGCATTGTAATTCGGACACAGAGTGACTGGGGTGCTCGCTGGCGGTGTGCTGGGACTCTGTGCAGCTGCTGCAACCGAGAACAGTTAATCACTAACCTGCTTCTTCAAATATTGACCACAAATAAGTAATTTCTAAATCCCCAATCTCAACCCTAAACACCTCTATCTCACAACAGTGGGACACCTAAATTGCGTAAAACGGTTTTGTGATAATTTTTACAACAACGTCCACATGACTGAAGCTACTAACTACCTTAGGATCAGTTTTAAAAGAATGGTACGATTTACATGGACTCTCGCGGAAGTTCAACACACAGCAACTGATCCACAGCTCAGCCCAGGATCAATAAGGGATCATCAACCACAAGCAAGTTTTGAAATAAACGCAAAAGGGTTATTACGACCGATCATGTTGTGGCCAAGAAAATAAACAAATAAATTAAAGTAAATTAAAAAAAAAAATACTAGTCTTTTAAACTTTTATTTCAATATTTCTTGTGGAAGGCTGAGACAGTTGTGGCCTGTGTAATCCCTTTTGTATGATGCATAAGAGGGAAAACATAAACATGCTTACAGAAAGATGCTTATTTGATACTTTTACCGAAACCGGGATTTAGATGTTTTTGTCAAACATTAACTGGTTAAAACTGACAATCGTTTAATAACCATAAATGAACAAAAAAGCACAATATACTCAAATCCAGGTTCTCCTCTCTCCAAAATCACTGCTTGATGTATTAATTAAGCAATCATAAAAATAAGCACATCTCAACTGAGGTCATTATAGTTCACTAAAACTAAATTCAAAACTAAAACTGGAAGTGGAAAAAAAACACGTTAGTTAATTACAATAAAAAAAATCATTTAAAAAACTCCTAAAAACAATTAAAAGGAAAACTAACTAAAATAAAATCAAAATACAGAGGAAATATTCTTCGTTGCAATCTGTCAGTTAAATTTGGTTTATTTAGAATTTGATTCAAGACGCTTTGGTGGACGTGCTTATTGAGATTCCGGGTTTCTACGAGACTCTGTGAGTCAGCTGCCTTCAGAAAGTTATTTGTTTTTATTGTAATACCTGTACTGATTTTCACAATTATTGCCACCGATGTATGTAATAAAAAACGAACTAAAATGAAAATGAAACACATGAAAACATAAAGGGAAATCCACTCTGGAAACGAACTGAAACTAAACAGAATTAAAAACAAAAAGTCGAAATGAAATAATAAAGAGAAGCGGAAAATACAAAAGTGTAATAAGACTGATCCGTCACACAACAGACAAATAAGAAGTAACAAGAGGAACCATTGGGGCATTTTTATGGACTGTATATTAATCGCTATAGCAAAGCTTTTATGAGATGCCACTCAGAGTGATCTGATTCAGCTTTGAGCGACGCAGATCCGACACGTTACTGTCTGTGCTGGCGGATGTGACGAATACCCCCAGATTCTGATAGCCTTTACACGTCTGCCACCTTGTGGAAAAAACAACTTATTACGTTCAATTTACAAAATTGACCAAATCATAACATTCTCTGCGGTTCTTTCCATTAATTACCTTTGATTTATACCAGATGGTATAAACATGCTGTCTAGATGCTCCCAGTTAAATGAAACTACAGAG